TGTTACATTTCCCTTTCCTTCTTGGCAGGTTGAGAGGAGGAATCTTCTGGTCTGTGACTAGTCTCATCTCTCTTTCTTGTTCTGAGGGCTAGTAGAAGCTGAGGGGTGTGGACTGAGGGCAGTCTCACAGAGTTTTAAAAAGAGGAACACTCATCCCCTTGCTTCAAGTTTAGCTGAAATTTTATATCCTGCCCAGCTGGGCGTGGCTCAGTGGTTGAGCATCGACCTAGGATCCAGGCGATCAGGGTTCGATTCCCGGTCAGGGCACATGCCCAGGTTGTGGGCTGCAGCTGATCAATGACTCTCTCATCATTGATGTTTCTATCTCTCTCTCTCTCTCCCTCTCCCTTCCTCTCTCTGAAATCAATAAAGATATATTTTAAAAAAAAATTAAAATAAAAAAAAATTTATATCCTATATCTGATCATTGAGGCCTACTCAGAGGAGTGGATTTCTAGGAGGTAATAGAGAACTCCCTTACTATCTGCTCATAGGACACAAGTCTCTCCAACATTCTAAAAAAGTGCCAGGAATTTAGGCTGAGTTAGTAGGATCTTTTGCCCATGGCTCCAGAGGAGGGTTGGATGCCAATCTGGGAGATCGGAATCCTTGAAGGATGCCCCGACCATACAAACACACCCTGCCTTCCCTCCTCAGATCTAGCACTGGGCTCCTTTATAGGCTTCTACTAACATGGACTGTTTCCCTCATGGAGATGTGTTTCATTCCGTATTGATTGGATAGGTTAAACCCTTCCCACCCAGTTTCAGGGAAAGAACCACTCTTATAAAGTGGACCCTCAGGTTCTTACTGTCTTGTCATTCTTAAGAACCTTACTTTGAAAAATCCTCTTCTGGCCAAGTTACTGACTAGCTCCATTCCAGCACTGGTTATATGGAACTAAAGATCCGCCTTTGTTTCTCAACTGTAAAATGGGGATAGTAAGACCTACCACTTAGGGTTCTCCTGAGGACTGTATGATACGTTTATATAAAGCAGTTTATTTAAATATAATAGTTATATATACACACACGCATACCAGTGCCTGGCATATATGAGAGATGGTTAATAAAATCTAGCTATTTTTATTAGAGTTATATTCATCTATCCTTTTAGAAACAGATCTGATTTATCAAATTCATAGGTCTATACTTTCTGGCCCAAGAAAATATATTCAACACACCCAATTTAGAATTTTTTCAGGAGGCCAACTCCTTCTCATGCTTAAAATAATTTGTTGGGTTAGTCTTGTGCTTTATTTTTAAAAGAATTACATTTTAATTCCAGTTGGAGGAAATGGGACATGTCCTTCATTTCCATTGCTTGAGCCAAGGCTGGTATGGTGGCATCCACTGGCTTTGAGAGAGCCCCAAATCTGGAGCACTTTCCATGAGAGAAGCGAATTATTCCCTGAATCCTGGGCACCCTTATGTATGCAAAATAACCCGCCATATGATTCACTCTAGTAGATACCCTCAGTTTCATCCTCAACCAAAAGTCAGATTGACCATTACAAAATATGGAATGTAGAAATTTAGTGTTTTATGGGTATGGATTCAATGCATACTTCTAGGGACCAAAAATCTCGGGAAAGCCCACAACTACTTATCTTGTTATAAGTCTAAAACAAGTCTAGGTCAATTTGAATGGAATAGGCCTAGGACAGTGGCCTTATTTCTAGAGCACTGAGATGACTTTAGAATGATGGAGAAACAAATTAGTTATTATAGTGATAATAATAATTTATTTCTTGAGATGTTACTAAGTACCAGTTCAGTTGCTTTCTGGTTAGTTAAACTGACAATCTTAGTATCTTGAATTTCAGAGATTATGGGAAGTGATTCTATATTATCAAATATTATCAGAGCACAGTGAAGGAAACAGATTTAGGGACCAAATTCCTTGCTCTGACCAAATGTTTTGGGAAGGCTCAGGCAGATGCCCTTCTGTTAAGTGGGTCTAAAATCCACTTGAAGTGGACTTTTAAAGACAAGGCCCTAATCCACACACAAGTAAGATCATTGATTTATGAAGCTATGACTCTGAGTTCAGGGAAGAAAGAATAAATTTCTCAGTAAATGGTCTGGTCAACTAAATATTGATGTGGAAATAATGAATGTCAACTCCTACCTCACATCATATATAAAAATCACTTGTGTTAGGTTGTAGATATAAATATGAAAGGTAAATCATTAGAGATTTAGAAGAAAACATAGACTATCATCATCTCATTGGGGAGAGCTAAGAGTTTGTAAAAATGACACAAAAATATTAACCATAAAAAAAATGGATAAATTCAGTTTTATCAAAATTATGAATTTTGGTTTATTAAAAGCCACCATTAAGAGAGTGAAAAGGCAGGTCACAGAGTGGGAGAAGATATTTGCTATATTTACATCCTTCAAATGACTAGTAAATAACTACTAAAAGGCAGATAATCCAATAGAAAAATGAGCAAAAGATTTGGACAGACACATCACAAAAGAAAATAATCATGTTCAATAGATGTAAGAGAAGACATCAGAGAAATGCAAATTCAAAATGATGAAATTTTACCTGAGTTGTTAACGTTAAAAGCATAAGCATTATTAAGTGTTAGAGAGGATGTGGAGCAATTGGAACTCTAATGGGAATGTAAAATGATACAACTACTATGGAAAACTATTTGGCCAAATCTACTAAAAGCTTAACACACACGTACTCTCTGACTCAACAATTCTACTCCTTGGTATGAACTCAACAGAAATGCATATAGATGTATGCCAAAAAAAATATTCAAAATTTTCACAGCAGCAATATCTATAATAGCCAGAAGTTGGAAAGAACCCAAACGCCTATCAATAGTAGACTGGATTAACAAATTATGTGACATTAATAAAATTTATTACTACCAGAGAATGAACTTTTTACAACCACCTGAAGCAATGTGGATTAATCTCAAACTTACTATTGAGTGAAAGAAGCCCAACACACACACAAAAAGCACATACTGGATGATTACATTTACATAAAGTTCCAAAATGGGAAAAATATAACCTAGTGTTAAAAGTATGCATAATGATTGCCTGTGAAGAGAGGGGTCCAAGAGGGGCTTCTAGGACATTGGTAAAATACTGTTTTTTGATCCAGGTGCTAGTTACATGGGTGTGTTTATTTTGTAAAACTCATCAAACTGTACACTTGATTTGTGTGTGAACTTTTCTGTATATATGTTATACAGCAATAAAAACTTTATTAGAGAAAGGCAAGGCCTAATGAGCTTGGTTGAGGTGAGTGGTTGTCCTGTGGCCTCAGAAACAGAGAAAACCATAATGTGTATAGACATATACATTCAAAACAAAACAAAACAAAAAATATATTCACTAAACATCAGTAGAGGTTACCACTGAATAATTGCACCTAAGGTAATTTTTTTTTCTGTTTCCAGCTCTTCCCAAATACTGGCCCTGGAAGGACAAGCAGAATACTAGAAGACATTGTTTTATCCTCAAAGCATTGGATAAAACTGTCTACAGTCATCTCTAATTTCCTTGTTGCAAGAAGTATGAATTTCATTCCAGGACTCCACATGCCTTCCAGGATTGTGAGGTTGAGAGTTTAGAGTTAACTACATTTGGAGTTATATCCCTTTGGAGAATTGTAGGAAATAAATAAATATTAAGGTCCAAGAAAGTAGTGTGGGAAAATCAAGGAAGGCTTCCTGAGGGAGATGACATTTGATCTAGGTGTCAAGGGATGAGCAGGAAGTTGTGAAGTGTAGGGGGAGGAGGGGATGAAGGACAGGAGGGTCATTGTAACCCAAAGAGCACATGCAAAGCATAATAAGGAATGATGGTCACGGACCAGGAAAGAGTTGGCATCATCAGGAAGAATGGAGGGACAGGATGCTGAGAGGATGTGAAGCCCCAACATTTGTGAGTCTGTACCCAGGTAATACACTGTGCTTGTAGATATAGTTGTAACAAATACCAAACATTATTCATTGTATCAGACCATGAAAATGCATAATACGAGTCCTCAATTTTTAAATTGTTTTAAAAAATATGTATTAAAGCAATAGCTTAATCACAAAAACAATGTTTCCTGCATTAGCATTTATACTGGAAGCCATGAAGTGTTCAGCTGGAATAAAACCAGTCTTTGTAGAATATTCGCAAACTTTAAGTTATTTAAATTGATCAAAATCAAAGCATGGTTATAACAGGTGTTATGCCAACCACAGAAGACTCTCAAAATCTCTTCCCCTAGAATTATAGAATAACTTGGTACCAACATCAGCATCCTTGCATGAAATGAATTTTCAAGGAGATGATGTTACATTCAGGGATATGGGCCTTGTAAGGACGCCTATTATTATGATGAATGGATGCAGACATGATGTCTGTAGCCTGTCATTTAACAGCTCTCTGGTTTGCCAAAGAACCACTTAAAATGCATAAATGCACTCTCTGAGCTAATGGAACAGATCTCTTTAGTGGTTTACAAAGACAGGAGAGAAGGAAAAGAGACAGGGTGGTTCTGCCACTTTCCGTGGCTTCCACAGCAGCAGGACCAGATGAGTAAGGCACCTGCTCCTGGAGGAGATTCAAACCACCGTCCACTCTTCCTTTTCACCTTCCATTACCCCAGGAAAGTGGAAGCAGAGAGGGGTCCCCTCAAACGCACCGCTTGTGAGTGGCTCCGGGGATGAATTCAGCAGAATCGACAGTGGCCGTGTCCCCCTGGTTGCCACACGCCCCTCCCGACCGCTGGGCTGCTGCGGTGCGATCGGCAGCCTCGGCTTGCAGAGTGACTCGCCTCGGGGCAGATTCCTGATTGAGCCAGAGCCCTAAACTGAACCGTACCGCACTTCGCTGCGTTCACTGGCTCTGACGTTAGCAGAAACAGCTGAGTAATCGGACAGAAGGCAGTGGGAGGGAAAAACAGAAGGGCATTAATATTGAACATTGGCCCTGGGCCGGGCGCAGACAAGGAGTCTTTGCATGTGTTTTGGAGGCAGCATGGTGACGGTTATGATCCTGTGTTTACCATTTGCCGGCTGTGTGAACTTGGACAAGCTCCTTCAACTCTGTGAACCTCAGTTTTCTCATGTCTACCTCCCAAGGCTTTGTAGGAAGGAAAAGAGAACCCGGGTTCACATGGCATATACTGAGAGCTCTGAAAAAGTAGGGTTTTTTTTTATTATCATTACTGTCATTATCATTTAATCCTCAAACCAGCATCATTACCCATTTTACGGATGTGGACAGTAAGGCTCACAGAGACAAGAGGCTTACCCAGGGGATGTAACCTTGGCACTGTGATTCCAACGCAGTGTCATGCCAGAATTTGTACTCCTTGCCACTCTAGACCACACCGCCTTTATCAGTTGGCTTTGAAAAAAAAACCGATTACAGAAATAAAAAGCAGCAAAAATGGGCTTGTTCACAAATACCCATGAACCAATGATTGGTGTGGTATATTATCAGTCAGGGTTCTCCAAAGATAAAGGACCAATAGGATGTATATGTATTATAGATCTAGGTCTAAATCTAGATAGAGCGATATCAAGAAATTGACTCTTGCAATTATGGAAGCTGGCGAGCCCGAAGTCTGCAAGGAAGGCTGCCAGCTGGCAGGCTGGAGACCCCGGGCAGAGTTGTTGCAAGCATGAACCTGAAGGCAGTCTGGAGGCAGAACTCTTTCTTCCTCAGGTGACCTCAGTCTTTTTTTTCTTAAGACTTTCAACTGATTGGATGAGGTTTACCCACATTATGGAGGGTAATCTGCTTTCCTGAAAGTTTACTGGTTTAAATATTAACCTCATCTAAAAAATACCTTCATTTTGACATCTAGACTGGTATTTTAGCAAACATTTGAGCGTCAAGGCCTAGCCATGTTGACATAAAATTAATCATCACAGGTGGGGAGCAGGGATCTGTGGCAAATATGAACCCAGAGCCAGAATGTTTGAGCTGAAGCACTAACCTTAATTGACTTCAGCCATCAAAATGCTTAGGTTCTGACTGAGTTTTATTACTAATTTCTTAAAACCCACATATATCTTAGGCATTTTTGACTAGTCAGGTGAACTAAGATTATTAAAACAAAACCAAATCATAGTGAGAAATGCAGTGTGTGGGCTCTTAGCAGCAAAGATAAAAAACAGCTTCAGAAAGTGAGGTCCTTTTTCCTAGTGACTGTTTTACCTAATCCAAGCTCAAGGGTGAGCTATTATTATTTTTTTAATTTTAAATAAAGCTTTGAATGTCTCCCCTCTGCTTCCTATGGCTAACCTGTGGGACTTATTCATAGCAATAATATAGTCATTTAAAACAGTTGTTGGTATTCTTTTGGAAGGTGGAAATTATTTTGTAGGCAAAATTGGAAAACATTTTTATTATAATAATTCAAAAATATCAATTTCCCCACGTGGCATCTGCAATAGAATAAATTTGCTGCCTTTCACCTGTTCTTCAGACCCTCAATCAAGTAGACGTGCTTCTTGTCTCCTCTCCTGGCTTCAGGGTGTTAGAAAATAGAGGAGTTGGTTCAGATCTGCCTGCCCTCACCCACCAGGCCTTGCATTTGGGAGAAAGCTGTGCTAGGCTGAGGAAGTGACGTGCAGCCAAGGAATCCAACTGAGATAACTGTGACAGAGCCTGCTGGTTGGTCTCCTTTCTTCTTGGTAATAGGACCCCAGTTTTATTTGGAGTGGCAATGTGCCCAGATAAAGAACAACATTTTCTAGTCAAAGGATGAGTCCCCTATGTCTATTTCCCCCTGCTCTTGGAATGTAGATGTAATGGTTGGCATCCTAGCAGTCATATTGAATTAGGAGATAACCTTGAGTTTAGCAGCCACACACAAGGAAACTTCTTTATAATGCCACAATACCTGCTGTGGATTTCCTACCTCTAGAGTTCTTTTATGTCAAAGAAGAAACCTTTGTGCTTTTAAACCACAGTAGTCAGATCTTTGTTTCTTTCAGCACAATTTAGTCCTTACTGAATCACTAACCCAGGCAGTAATCAAAGCACTAAGCTTCCTTAACACGCTTTGTTGAAGGGTAATAGACCACAGACTCAATATAATTTCAAAATCCATTGGCTTTTGATATATGGGACAATTTAAAGAATCCAAAGAAAGAAAGTTGTTAGGTCTTATTACCTTTACCCATAAAATAAAAAGCTGTTAGAACTGGAAAAGTACTTGAGAAATTCTAATTTAACTCTGCCCCACCATCCATTCCCAGATGAGGAAACAGAGGCCTAAAGTTTAGTCCAGCAAAGATACTCAATAACCTGAGCACAAATCTCCTAACACCAGTCAATCACCCCATGGTTATTTTTAATTCTTGATCTGCAAATGCAGACATAATCTGGATATTTTACACAACCAGGAAAGCAACTAGAAACAATTGCACAGTAGTGCTCATTTGAATACCATTTTGCTTACCTTGTAACATAACTTTGTCCAACAAGCATTTGGCCAATTTACTGATAGAATAATCTGAGCTCACACCACAGTGCCAGTCCACATTGGAGCATCACAGAACAGTCCTCAACAGGTGGCCCACTTTTAGCTTTTAGTACCAATTCTTGTTAGTTGGATGCAAATTAACTATAGGCCCAGCAAAGAAAAGGGCCCGTTTGGCAACTATTCATTCTTGTCAGATTTGAAGCTGTTCTGCAAAAGCACTTTAATTAGGCAGTGGGACTGCTGCAACACTTAGAAGCAGCTCCTAAATGGGAAGCTGAGAATTTCAGGACCAAGTGAAGTTCTTGGTGCTTGTGCTGTTTACCATTTAAAAGACAGCCCCAGTGAATTCTCCAGTATGCCTTTCTTAGGCTTTGTAAGATTCAGAATGGTTCAATGGCTTCTTTTCTTTCTTTCTTTCTTTCTTTCTTTCTTTCTTTCTTTCTTTCTTTCTTTCTTTCTTTCTTTCTTTCTTTCTTTCTTTCTT